ATAATCAAATCATTTTCTTCCAAACTCATAGTACTATTCTCAATTGAATTAGGACAACCGGGTTCAGGGTTAATTAAATCGTGAGTTAAATCAAGTAGTAAGTTTAGTTGAACCACTTCCGACTCGATATTATTATCATCACAATTACCCAAAGTCGACTCAGTAGGTGATACAACTAAATCAGGATCTTCCGAATTTAAATTCATTGTGTTCACAGCCAGATTGGCTTCTTTCGAGATCACATTACTATCGTCCAGGCAGACTTTATCCAAGGAGTTGTCCTCGAGGAGACTAGGATCTGGATGGGCTAAGGTATCTAGGTTTAGAGGTCCTAGATCCCCTAAACTAGGGTTCAGGTCAGGCAGGTGGTTTAATTCAATCACATCAATTTCAACCTCAAAGAAGTCTTCGTTATCGATAGTATCCACGAAATGGATGTAATCAGGTTCAGTAGATTTCTTCTTTTTAATGCAATCCTTTATTAAAATTACACTTGTAGGGTCAAAGACTGGGGAGGCTAAAGGTTGACTGAGCTGGCTAGACGTTAGTCCACGTGGGGAGTCATATGAGATTTGTCCAACAGAAGACCCAGTAGCGGGTCGGCCATTTAGGTTAAGTGAAGACCTAAAGGGTGGGGCAGCAACCCGGATGTTACTAATTGGTGGGTGGTCTTGACCACAGTAAGGTCCACGGGTTGTCCCAACAAAATAGGTAGGGTGATGCCCTAGATGACGATCACTAGTAGAGGGTCGGTATTTCAAATTAAGTTATCGTCTCATGTCTTTCCAAGTAAGGTACTCACCGCGAGACTCTTTATGATCTTCCAGTTTTATCCAAAATTGAAGAGCTCGACCTTTAAGGTGAGATTTAGCAATGCTAATCTAGTGGGACTCAGGGATATGACAAGATTCAAAATAATCCTCAAGTTGTTTAACCCATTCCCTAAGGTAGTAAGGGTCCGAGGGACCATCAAAGGTGGGTAGACGGTAAGGTGGCTCAAAGTGAGGTCGTTGTGGCTTAAACTCGGGCCTAGGTTGAAAAGCAGAGTGGGGCACATAATTCGAGCGGGGATAGTCAACAGGTTTCTCTCATAATTCTAGTCATAGTGCCCACTAGGTTAACGATGTCATCTAAACTCTTTTGGAGCCTTATCGGGTCCATAGGGAAGCGTCAAGTGATACCTAAAGAAGATTGGGTGTATGGGACAATACTTTACGATGAGGAAACATAATTATGACTTGCTATAAAGTGCAAGAAAATAATGGGCAGCAAGCTACAAAGGTGGTTTACGAAATCTAGGCAGTTAGGAAGGTGGTAAAGTTAAGGACAGTACCTAAACTCGAAGAAAACAAGCTTCTAACGCTTCTAAACGGTGCAGTTTCTGAGTGGACAGCAAATTACAGCAGTGGGAGAAGTTGTCCAAGCATTTAGGGTAACTTATAGGGTGAGGACAGCACTTAAACACTATGGTAGGGTGCTCCGAAGGCTCTTATATACTGCTGGAATGCTAAGGACAGCAACCTATCACAATGACGCAAGTTGTCTAAGTGTTTAGAGAAGGTTGAAGAGTGTGGACAGCAACTTAACAAAGGTTTAAGGGCACCTAAAAGTCACTAAACGGTCCAGGAAAAGTGCAGGATAGCAAAGTTTTCAAGTGTAGCAAGTGACCTAAACACTTAGGTGAGTTGGAAAGGCTAAGACAACACTTAGGTAACGAACTAAGCTTGCTTAAAATGATAAAAGCATGCATAAATTTTTCTGGACAGCAGAGTAAAGCAGAAAGTTTTATGAAATAAGCAATGGTGCGCATGCAAATGAACTACACTAATGGAGACTAACTTCCTAGGAACTTCTAGCACAAGCAAAGCATGCTAGCCATGCTCTGATACCAAAATGATGTGAAACAAACATGGGGAAACATGAATTGCACTTTAGAGATTAGTGAAAGCTTTGACTTTGCAACTTTAACAATAAAATATAGCTTACTCAAGTAGGATTCAAGAAAAATTCGTGATAGATTAAGCGATAGGCATCGATTACACTTGAGGATTACAAGAGTCTTGCAAAAGATAACCAAAAGATAACTAAATAATGCAAATAGCTATTACTAAAGCCACACGTTTAAAATTTAGACCATTCACCTTGGGGTCCGTCAATCTCTCTTTGATGTGGAGGTTAGCGGAAGAGGGTCGCAAGAAAACTTAGCGATACCACTAAGACACATGTGATGCCGAGAGGACTCGTCGCCGGGGAAGAAGCGGGACTTGGAGAAGCGAGCGGATGACTTTCGATGATCCACGTGTAGTCGGAGAATTGATCGTCGAAGGCGTCCACTAGTGTCGGCAAAATCCGATCCAAGTAATCTTCGACGGTATTGTCGAAGCCGAATTCCACGTCGAAGAAAGGAGATCTTAAGACATGGAGATCTCCGTAGATATCGTAGAAGAGCCCGTGATCAACGGCTGGATCCGCCATCCACCATGGATTTGAAGACGAGCAATCCCCACAAGCAACTTAACAATGGGAAGAAAAGAGGGAGGAGGGCGGTCGGCGGGTTTAGGAGGGGGAAGGAGAGGCTGGAGGTAGAGATAGGGAGAGAGGGTGAGGGTTAATTAGAAAAACTGAAATTAGTTTTAGTATAAGGGATTAGAGAGGGAAAATATTTGAGATTTAAATTTTGAATTCCCAAATTAAAGGGGAATTATGGCTCATTCAATGAGAGAGGGAGAATAGGAGCCGGCGGCATCATAGGTGGGCTAGGGTTTGTGAAAACGGAAATAATTTTCAGTTTTAAATGAAATTGGAGGGATTTATTTTGAAATTAAAGTTTAAATTTCAAAATAGGGAGGGGAATAATTGTACAATTAATGGGAAGCACAAAGAGGGGGCCGGCTATGTAGAGAGGGGAGAGATTGGAGATTTAAGTAGGTGGGGACCACAATTAATTAATCAAAATCTGAAATTAGATTTCAGATTTTTAATTATAACTCCCTAATTTAAGTAAAATTAGGAGGGAATTTGAATTTTAAAATATTGTAACTCCTCTTAATTAATTCCCTAATTTAAGGGACTCAATTAGGAAGGTCATTAAGGGAGGGAAATTCAAATTGCAAGGAGGGCTAAAGGGGGGAAGTCGGCGGCAAGGGCTCAAGGTGGCCGGTGGCAAAGGGATCTGCGGGCGGTTGGCTGGCCGGCGGGTTGAGGGGATGCAGGCCGACGGCCTGGGCTGTCCAGGAGGGCCGGCGGTAGGGAGCAAGGGAGGAAAGATCTTAGGGAGAATTTTGAGGGATCCAAGGAGCAAAAATCCAATTTTCCACACGTTCTTCAACCGAATCTCCACGACGACAAATCGCTCAAGAGAAAGAAAGAAAACAAAACTATTAGAACAAGAAAACCTAGAACTCACAAAGAGATCTAGCTTCTCCTACGAACTCACTAAGAAATCGTGGAGGTTTGCACTCACAAAGAGAACATGAAATGTCAAAAAAATATCATTCATCCATTCCCTCATACAATGCATGAGGCCTCATATAAATAGGCCAGAATGAAAGAGAGAAAAAAGAGATAAATGCCCTTCCAGGCTACATAAGCGACTCAATGCCCACAGGGGAGAACTAGGAAAACAGAAAATACAATCATAAAATAAAATGCAAATAAATCAGAAGTATAGGCTCTGAATCGTCGCCGTCGATCTGCGTCTCTGGCGATGGTACACGTGTCAAAATCTGATGTCCTCATCCGTTATGCTTTCCCTCCTAACCAATGACCATGGTCAATTACATCATCTACAAGCAAAAAACATCTATAATGATCCTCCTACTCTTGACGCACCTCATCTCCATTCAATTAATGAAGATATTGATAATCGTGATTCACAATAGTCTTATGATTAATACATAAGCATTCAAAGTGTTCACACTCTGATGGACAACAAATTTCCTTTTTATCAAACAAGGCAAGAATAACTAAAAAAAAAGTTATCAACATCCCCAATATTCACCAATCTAAAAAGAGCTTCAAATGAGTGTTTTCGTAGCTTTCTTGACCTGAAGAATACTTCATCCTTAGCTATCATGTTAGCTTTATTTTGTCTTGTACATTTTCTTCTTCTCAAGCAATTCTTTATAACTACCCTTTATTGTACTCATATCATTGTATGATTATAGAATTATGTTCTCTAAATAAAAAGGGTAGTTTAACAAATTTAAAATGATCTATTTAACAAAACTTCTAAACTTAGAATCAAGAAGAACATGAAAGTTCATTATTTTTTTCAATATAATATAATGTAAAGTTTATTATTTTATAATATTAAAAAAAACTCCTCATAAATAAATAAAATTATAATCAATAATTATGATTTTAGTGGCCCCACTTCACTTAACCAAGTATCCATGCTGGCACCTATAACCTCAAGCATTGAGGAATAATATCACCTTGAGCGTGTTGGGAAATTTTGGTACAATTGATTATTATAAGGCTATTCCCAAAAATCCCTTGGCCCATGCCTATATGCAAGCTCTCCAAGTTATTTTTACTCATTCCAATCTTCTCAGACTTCCCTTCTCTTGAAACTCTGTCCAAAGAGAACAAAAGCATCACGAAGAATCTACAAGATAGATAGGGTGTTCTAAAGAGCTAGATCGTGTCTACTAGATAGGCTGTTTTCTGTAACTCTGTTGTTGACTTGAGCATCGAAGGTCATTTTGGGTGCTGGCATTTGTGTGGTTGCATGTGGGCTGAAGCGACTAAAGATGCATGTTGTGGACATTAAACTCTACCGACAAGAAACTATTTTATTATCTGCAATGATATGAAAATTGACGTGAAAAAAAGCTATCTTGTTAAACACAGTAGAAAAGATTTGTTATTAGAGAAATTATAAAGAGCATCTGCAAATGTACACATTGTAAATGATTAGAGTTGAATTGCACTGAATCAGATGATACAATAAAAATGTAGACAATATTGTCTCGATTCTGGGTAAAAATAAAACATACCAGACTTAGCGTCCCTTGGGTCAAAGAAAAATCCCAAGCAATGTATGAATTCACAGTATCTACTGTCAAAATCACCTGGAAATCAATAACATAAGAATTTATACAAACTGAAATTGTATAAGATGTGGAATACAGCTTCAAGAAACTGATAATGAGAATAAAAGCTACACAAGTCATGCCAGCATGCTTTTTTTTCTTGGCATATAACTCATGATTGCTAGTTCAAGGTATTTTTGGGTTCATTCAAATAGGTTAAGGATCTACTAGTTCATTTTTCTGGTCAATATTGACTTAAACTGTCATAGACCACTTTATAATTATGATGTGTATGAAAGTTGATGAAAAGTATACTATTATGCAATGTTTCTTGTGATATGTGCATTTTAATTAACAAAACCCCATACTTTGTTTGTGCTCATGCTATAAGCTTCAAATTAGGGAAACAAAATCAATTATGTGTTGACAAACCTTAGCAAGCTGGTTGTTTAGATGAGATTGAGTGTGCGTGATGACGTCACTCACGTCACCACAACATAGGAAAGTAGGTGGTATTTGTGTAAAACTTAAATAAATGAGTAATTTTGTAGTGCTATCGACCAAATTAATCAAGATCTATTGAATGGATCAATTTTAGGCTTTTTCCAATATTAAATTTCATCCAAATAACTACCCTTTTGAGGATCAATTCCCTCTGTCATTTGACTAGATTTGTCCAAAGCACATATGTATTTTTGCAAATATGGATTTTCATTTTTAACTTTCAAGATTGCTTACTTAGAAGTTGTTATAAAGCTTAATTAAGAGGATTTCTTCTGCAATGAAAACAAGATATATATTCCTGTTTAAAAATAAAACATATGTACTGCATTGAATTTCTTTTAAAATTTGTTTAAATGACACTTTAAAAAAAAATGTTTAACTACTTCAAAATTAAAACAATGATTTTTTTTACACAGACATATCATCCCCATTTTTAGGTTGTAGAAAAACATAAATATCATGTCAAAAAAAGTGTGCTTACAACTGATATCTGGCATGTATGTCTTAATCTTTCGAGCTTATCACATTTTAAGCATTTATACACTCTTACATCTTATGAATTTTGTAAAACGTAAAGAAGAATATGAAGCTAAAGTTTTATGCATTGAGGCTTACAATTTGTGTCATGATCCGGCTCGGTTAGCTCGTATATATGAGGCGGGAACGAAATCGGACGTTCAGATCAATCACTATTCATCTTTCATGTAAACAAAAATTTTCTAAACAAACTTGAAGAACAAAAAGCGCCTCTAAAATTTTATTTCCATTCCATAGAGTGTTCACAATATATAAGATGGCAAACTTCTAACTATTCATGCTATGCACGCCATCCAAAAGTAAAGGAGCCACAACTAATAAAAGCAATAAAAGAACCTGTCACCCATTGCTCGACGACTGTAAGTAAACCTCGGGTGATCCGCCATCACTTATGAGAAGGTTCTCCTGAAAATTTCCCAAAGCTAGGGAGTGAGCTACGCTTAGTAGAAATTTCTAATCCTAAACATGCTCATATGATTAAAAATGAAATGTACATTTTTTTTAAACTAAAGGGGGTCATGCTTTTCTTTTCCTAGTCATGCTATCTTGTTTATGTCATATGACTGAGAGATCATTTAGGTACCATATGCATGTGTCATTTGATATGTATGAAATGAATGTCGTCTCAAAATGCTTACTTATTATTATCTACAACCGTCCCGGAGTACCAATGGTGTACTGATCAGGTACACAAACCTCTTTTGGCCATTTATTCATTTTTTCTCTTTTGCCCCAAGGGCCATAATGTTCTCATATTGCTCATATGTGCTTTTGCACCGTCTTTGATACTCCGTAATCAATCATATACAATCATTTCTATAGCTTTTCATATGAACATACATTCCTTCCTTTTCATATAAAATGTTTGACATGAAATCTTTAAACATGTAATGATTACACTTAAGCACTTAAGCATGAAAGAAACAATTAAGTATATTGCATGTGAAACAAATATTCAATTTCTATAAAACATGTCATAAAGGCTTTTCTATAAAACATGTCATAAGGGCTTTAATATATAAAATGATATAAACATGAAATAACAAATGAACATGTAAGGATAAGAATTCCTACCTCCAAAAATTATGAATTCCTCATCTCTCCTCTTGATTTACTCTTCTTCTTGCCACCACCTAACGAAAAATAATTTAATTTAAACTTCTTGCCGAAATAAAATTTCTAATTCTTTTAGAAACTTCCTATAATCCTCCTATCCTTATTCTTAAGGTACAACATCATCAACCTCATACCCAATTTTGATTTTTTTATAAATGAATTTCGGATTTAAATAAAATATAAATTATAGGAACCTAAAATTTTATCCAATTCATCCTAAGTCCTTCTAAACCATTCCCCTTTTTTATACATATAAACAAATCATTATTATTTTCGGAATTAAATCATAAAATAATTAAGAAATTTATTTTTTTCTCAAAATTGCAATTTCTTTTATTCAGAGACCTCTCTAAATCATTGGGAATAGCTTAGTGAACATGCAACCCTAGAATCCCTAAATTAGGAAAAACCCTAAACTTTTTCTAATTTTTAAAATTAAAATTCCTTAAGAAAACTTTGCATTTCTTAATCCAAAATCCTTCCCTCACCTTCTTCTAACAATCCCTACAAAATAAAATATAAAAAGTGAAACCCTAAATTTAGGATTTAATGTTTCTCTTAAGAAATCTCGACATGTAGGGTAGAAAATCATAGATCCAAACAAACCCTAAATGTTTTTTAAAAAATCCTTAAGAAAAATCAAACCCTAAAAATTTTACTTCAAGAAAACTCAAGAAAAATTTCATATTCTTCAAGAAGAACTTACCTCAAACCTTCCCCTACGCTTTTTCTAAAAAATCTCGTCGGAATCTCGCCCCCGAGCCCAAGCCGACACCGTTCCTCCCTTCTCCTATCGCCTCTCTCACGTTCAGCCGAAACAAATCAACAAGGGACCGAATATTTCGGTCCCTTAGGGCTTATGAGGGCTTAATGAAAGGCTTTTACACATGTGCCCTTATGCATATAATTTCTCTTTTATTTCATTAAGGGCAAAAATGAAAAATCTAGCCAAAATTATTTAAACGATCTTCGGTGAATTTTAACTTCAAAACCGTGCGAAATTATATACAAGTTCTTTATATCATTTCGATCGAAATTTTGTGACGAATTTAATAAAATTTATTTCGTTGAATTCCGACGACATCGAAATTTCACTTAAGTTCGTCGCGGCGCATCGAAATGCGTGTGACGCACTCAAATGACGAATTGCGGGTTTTATAATCCTCCCCTCCTAATAAAAATTTCGTCAACGATATTTAAAAGAAATGAAAAACAAATATACCTTACTCAAAAAGATGAGAATAGCAGTTCCTCATTTATGACTCCTTCTCCCACGTGGCATTTTTTTTCAATCCATGCTTCCATAAAACTTTAACGAACGGTATCTCCCTACTTCTAAGTTGCTTCACACTAACCTCCAGAATACGATCTGGTTCTTCAACATAGGTAAGATCTGGCTTTAAGTTCACATCTTCCGATATAATCTTAGAAGGATCATCCGATATATACTTCCTTAGTGAAGAAACATGGAACACGTTGTGGATAGCATATGTAGTGGGTAAAGCTAATCTATAGGCCACCTTCTCAATCATTTTCACTATCTCAAAAGAACCAATGTAGCGAGGACTAAGTTTGCCAAAACGAAGTACACCCTTTATTGGCCTAATCTTTATGAAAACAAAGTCTCCCACACTGAATTCCACAAAGCGGCGCTTAGCATCATAATACTTCTTCTGTCTATCTTGAACTGCTAGTAATCTATCCCTGATCAATTTGATTTTGCTTGTGGCATCATCAACAAGATCTGATCCAATTACCTTCCTCTCACCTGTCTCTGCCCAACAAAGAGGTGTTCTGCATTTCCTTCCATAGAGGGCTTCATAAGGAGTCATTCCTATGCTGACTTGGAAACTATTGTTATAAGCAAACTCTATCAAAGGGATATGAGATTCCCAACCTTCACCAAAATCAAGAATACACAATCTCAATAAGTCTTCAAGTGTTTGAATAGTCCTCTCAGTTTGTCCATCAGTCTGAGGATGGAAGGCTGTACTGAATGTTAATCTAGTGCCCATAGCCTCTTGTACTTTCCTCCAAAATCTAGAAGTAAATATACCATCTCGGTCAGATACTATGGACTTAAGCACGCCGTGCAATCGTACAATCTCAGCCACATACAATATTGCGAGCTTCTTAACTAAATCAATCAATCAGATAGGCTAAAAGTGAGCAGACTTTATAAGCCTATCAATGACAATCCAAATAGCATCATGACTGTCGTGATCTGGGTCAACCCTTACCGATTCCAGAGTGGAAGTGGGATGATATTGCTATGGATTTCGTTACTGATTCCAGAGTGGAAGTGGGATGATATTGTTATGGATTTCGTATCGGGTTTACCCAGATCACGACAGGGTCATGATGCTATTTGGGTTGTAATTGATAGGCTTACAAAGTCTGCTCACTTTTTACCTATCCGATTGACCGATTCAGTTGAGAAGCTCGCAATGTTGTATGTGGCTGAGATTGTACGATTGCACGTCATGCCTAAGTCCATAGTATCTGACCGAGATAGTGATTTACTTCTAGACTTTGGAGGAAAGTACAAGAGGCTATAGGCACTAGATTGACATTCAATATAACATTCCGTCCTCAGACTGATGGACAAACTGAGAGGACTATTCAAACTCTTGAAGACTTATTGAGATTGTGTATTCTTGATTTTGGTGGAGGTTTGGAATCTCATATCCCTTTGATAGAGTTTGCTTACAACAATAGTTTCCAAGCCAGCATAGGAATTGCACCTTATGAAGCCCTATATGGAAGGAAATGTAGAACACCTCTTTGTTGGGCAGAGACAGGTGAGAGGAAGGTAATTGAATCAGATATTGTTGATGATGCCACAAGCAAAATCAAATTGATCAGGGATAAATTACTAGCAG